GGGGGGGGGGGGGGGGGGGGGGGAGGAATTATGTATTCAATCATTTCCGGAATGCGGCATTATAGATTGCAGAGTGGGTGGGAGGTCTGCACATAGGTGACGATGGTAGTGCTACGATCCATTGAGGCTCATACAATTTGCATGCAAATATTTCAATTTCCCTTGTGTGTGTCTCTCCCTCTCTGTCTGCTCATTTGCTGAAATCCTCTTGCGACAGCAAAGGGCATCGATTAGCCATGAGCGAAATTCAATAGAATACACACACACACATGTTCATTATCCTGCAGGTACATATTCCCATACATAAATGTATGTAAATATGTATGTACAATGGATAGACGGAGGCGATTACCATTTTTGTAATTTGCAGTGAAAAGGCTTTTAATTTGATGGGAAAACATAAAGGAGCTGGATACAAAAAAAAAAAAAAGAAACCACCTCCACACGTGGACAACACCACCTAGGTGGCCTCGGGGCCAAACGGCTCCTCACCTGCCAGAGCAACCCACCCAACAGTGGGTGGCAGCGACAGCATCAACAGCAACAGCCTCTCGTTCAGGATATGCAGATAACTGTAAATAACCGATTATATGTGCGCACACACACACAAATACATATGTATGTATGTACATTTGTATGTATGAATATGTATGATGTATGTACATCACATATGTACTTGGGGCAGAGTTTACATTTGTTCTTGTTGCTTAATTTACAGCCTTATGTCACTTTTTTGGGTGCATTATATTTTTTCATTATCGCGCAGCAGCAGCAGGCAGCAGAGCAGCACCCAAAATCAGATAGTGTGCGAGAGAAAGAGAGAGAGCGAGAGAGAGCGCATGCAATCTGCTGCTATCTCTCGTCCGCTCTGCCTATATCCATCTCCTTCTGGCAGTGTCCAAACAAAGAGAGGGACACACACACACACACACACGCACACACATCAAAGGGAAATGAGTTTTCATTTAGCCTCACACAAAAGCGGAAATGAATCGAAATAAATAAATAAATTGCACCTGTCCCACCCCGCACAGCCACCCAGCAGTCATCCAGCCATCCGCCCCCACATCCATCCAAGCGCTCTCTTCCTTTACATACACACGATCCCCCCGCTGCTGCAGCATCCCCCCCCTGCCGACCATTGCACATGCGCCGAGAGAGAGCGAGCGAGCGACAGAGCGAGAGCTGGGACGAACTGCAGCAGAACTGTAGCCATCCCGCTCTGGCAGCCACACATAATGCTCTCCCTTTTCGGCACTGCGTGCATTCAACCCGGCAACGCACCTGAGCCACCCGCTGCAACCCCCTCCGACAGCCCAGTGCCCATGCCTCCACCATTGTCCTCGAGGCATTTCCATTCTCTCGCTGCAATTCCTTCTCGGCTTTGCGTCTTTTCCTTTTCGCCTTTTTCTAGCGATGGGAAAACCCTGTGTGCTGTTTGTTTTTTCCCGGCGACAGGCCCCCCGGTTGTGCCATCCGCTGCCCCAACCCCCACCCCAGCAGCTGTCTTTCGCTCCGTTTTTGTTTTGCTTTCGCCTTATCAAACTTTGGCGCTCTCCGGCGCCCACTCAGCCCACACCCCCTCCATTTCGCCGCTTCGTGTCTATGGTTTTGTATTTTGTTTAGGTTTTTGCTTCTGTTGCTTTGTTTTCCCCGCTTTTTACTTTGACTTTCATTCAAGAAGAGTCTTCGTCGCGTCGCCTCGGGTGGGCAGGGCAGGGCTGGGAATCTCCTCTTCGCGACACAGAAACGCAAACGCCCAGCGACGATGACTACGACGACAATGATGATGATGATGATGATGATGATGTTGATGACGACAACGTGGGGCCTTGCCCGACTAGAACAAACTCCCCCCGCAGACACCCGTGCTAGAAAATAGATCACAAAATGGCTAACAAAACACCATGGAGGTCGGGGAACACACACACACACACAGGCAGATATGGGAGAGAGCACATGGAAAGCGGCAAAAGCATCGCAGCAGACATATCTAATGAAAATTAAAGAGAGTGCCGCAAAACTTTAAGTTAGATTTTACACTCAGGC